GAACACTAATTATCTTGTGCTACAACATGCCTAGAACTCAAGGTTTTCTCGAATTGTCAGATTTTGTTAGAGGAAGGATAGTTGGTCAAGAGGAGCATCAAAATGGATCCCAGATTAACGACTGAAGAAGTGGCCAAAGTTGGTGGAATGAGCCCGAAATATGTTCAACGGATTCTCCACAGATTGGGTTATCATTGCAGAGCAGCTAGATGGAAGCCCTTATTAAGACCTGCCAACATAGTCAGACAAAAGAAGTGGGCAAGTGATATGATGACCAAGCCTCTGGACTTTTGGAAGACTGTATTGTTCTCAGACGAATCAAGACTCGCTCAATTTTCAGAAAATGGAAGGATATGGGTCTGGAGAATGCCTCACCAAGAGTTTTGATGATAAAAAAACCATAGTTTTGGCTTTTCTTTGCATATAGACGCTTGATACATTAAGAACGACTGAAATAATAATTTGAGTAATAATTAAGGGGGCCAGGTGAGGATGTTTGCTGGCTCTTGACATTCCTGCTTGTAAGCATATCTTCATTAATGGCATCTCCTCTGGTTGGCTTCCTGATCATTTAATACAGAAAAACCATTCTGGACCACTTTAAATACAATGGATAGTACAAAGTCAAGTAGTGGCGAAGAGAAAGTTTTTATGTCTTCAAAATAATTCTTATATTATGGTGCCAACAACAACAAAAGTGCATCATTAGCAAATCAACTACACTTTTTAAAACACTAGGTCTCAACAATTAGAGTTAAGAATAATTTGCAGTAATTATGCAAGAGAAACTGTGTTTATTTCTATATAATAATGAAGCCAGTTGGCCACTTAAGAACAAACTATTAAGAATTTTCATATTTTTACTATAAGGAATACATAATTCTAAGCTTTTACAAGCCATTATGGTGCTAGCACATTTTTAAGTATTAAAATGTTCTGTAATAAAAGTTCAGAAGGTTTTAGTGGTTTAAGTAAGAAAATGATCTCTGACCTGAATAATCTGTTCTTCTGTTATACCAGGAAGTTGAAGCATATGCTCAATTATAAGTTCATTTACTGGCTTTTCTTCTTCATTAAATGACATCCTACTGTATTGGTCAACCATTTCTTCAAATTCCAGGTCTGGTCCACCTTGCAAAATCCACTTGTCTTGCAGAATATGACACACACTCAGTCTTTTCTCAGGGTCAACAACAAGCATCCTTCTGATAAGTTGCTCACATTCTGTACCAAGAATAAATAATCCTTTGAAATGTTATTTCCTGCATCTTACTCTAAATATACAAAATACTTTGTTACATAGCAATTCAATCATTCACAGCAGTTTTTTCCTCTTCTTGTTGCATTGCACTTTCTTCAGTCGCTTTAAATGATCAAGGATTTTTTCCTTACCAATTATGACCTGTTGAACTTTCATAGTACATGACTGTAATGCCCTCTCTGTCTTTTTCCAGGAGAGGCAAGGGGAGTAAAAGTCCCCTTTCACTAACAGAAAAAAAATTAAGGCTTATTATGATAAACCACAATTTGTTCAACTTTTAATATCTTAGTATGCATTGATAATCATTGTAACAAAGGAACATTGTAATCATCATGAATTTGAATTGACACGCAAGATCATACCATTCCACAAACCTATGCAAGAAGCAAGGTAATTTGGCTATGAAAGGCATGGGGCATATAGGCCAACAATCTGACAAGTGTCTTATGCATGAGTAAGCACATTATGGCATACATTTTTTCCCTATGCACATGCATTCCGCAGACACAAGAAAACACTATGTTGTGTTTGATATATGTATCACAGTACAACACTGTGCACTTTGTAGTTTATTTCAACAACACTGCAGTAGCTATATGTTTTGGCAATAAACCAGGAAAGGTAGGAAAAAATTCTAAGAATAACATGACATTATGCACCTTATAACATGCATATGTAAAATGATACTGAGAAACTAGCTCTAGCCTAGACCTTTGTTTTAATGATTTTTGAGTTAGAACCTTCTTTCATTCACCGAAATAAAATGGCTAGACATATATCCTAACATTAGACAGTAGTGGATGCAGGAGTAGGGATCTGGAGATGCAAAGTGCCCTCAATATGCAACATATTTTTCATAATTTTTGGATTTTCTAAAATCTGAGAAAAAAATCCCTATTGAAAACAACTTGTTATGATAAATTTCATTGTCATTTTCCCCTTGCAAGAAAATTCTACACCTAAAGTAGAGTAAATTTTACTCTACAGAAGTAATGTGAGCTATAATCCTCATTTCACAAAGATGTCTGGAATAATAATTCACATTTGTCATGCGCTCTTATTCATATGATCACATTTTTAAATAGATGGAAAACTGTTACAATGTTGAATGCACATTTTACTTGTCCTGTGCCCAGGATGAAAGGCAAAATATGATAATGATAATTAGATCTGCACACAAATGGACTACTTGTTTGACAACTGTTGTTTTATTGATCTGATTGTAAGGGGATAGCAACTTGTGGGGCACGCTGAGGACAGTATGTAATGATGACATGAGAGGATTTCTTGATTACCTTTTATTGAAGGTTTTGTGTGTTAGTTTGTAAAATCTTTCTTTAAGTGGAGGGGTGTTGCTTACTTCATGTAGGTATTTGGTAGGGTGTAGCTTGGAAGTCTGAGAACTCTATTCTGTTGGATTTGTAGTTTGTTGGGAGTTCTGTTTGTTATGTTGTAATGAAGGATGTACTAAAACTTTCTTGATTGCTCTCATCATCACTAAACCCATGTCAAGTGTTGTATGCTATTATTGGAGCCTATCCAAAATGTGTCCTCCTTTTTTCAGAACATCATAAAGAAATTGAATATGAGACAGTCACAGAAAATTATATCATTTTACGGTTGCAGAGCCTATCTACGAAAAGGGTGAAGGCTGCTGATGTGGTTTTTGAAAAGGCTTCTGAATGGAGCTTAGTGTTAAAAGCCCTACAGTCTGAAGCAATGGTTTCACAAGACACCAAAGCAAGGATCACAGGACTATTGCAACAGTTGAAATCTTTAGGCAATGTTTCAGCTTAATGCCACTAGGAAGCTTGTAGTTTTGCTCAAAAATTATCAAAATAACTTCAAGCCATTTACATTTCTTTAGACTATGTCATCTTCTCCATCAGTCACACTATGCAAATGCTTCAAGAAATGCAAAGCCATGATGAATTCAACATGAGGCTAAAAACCTACTAGGCATTGAAAGCAGGAGTCAGACTAGTCATCAACAAAAAATTCCAAGGCGACTTGAAGATGCATCAGTGTTGCTGACCACAGATGGGGCTAAACAGTGATATGGGCAACATGCATCAACTGTATTTTGAGGCTATTGATGCAACTCTCAAAAGTCTTACTGAGCAAGAGGACCTGACTTTCACAAAGAAAGGAGAGAGAGAAATATCCATAGATGGTCTGAACGGTAACCAAGTTGACAAAGTGAAGCTTAAAGTTCAGCTCAATGACTTGCAACTGCATACTACTAAGCGTAAATAAAATATCAGTGATGTAACCAGAATTTCTACAGTTGCAGAAACTTTTAATTCAATGCCATGAGCAAAGTTTACATGCTCAGAGATTCACAAACTGATCAAGATACACTCTATGTACCCTGTGACCATGTCTTCATGTGAACCCACATTCAGCACAATGTGTTGCATGAAGACATGGTTAAGAAGTAATACAAGAGGAACCCATTTGAATAACATCATGTTTGTAAACATTCAAAAAAAAATTATTTCATGCCGTCAACATCAAAGCTGATGCCAAAGGATTCTGAGAAAAACGAGAAAGGGAGAAATTTCTTTGTAAGTTTTTAGTGTTATAATTTTCTTATGCTGAAAATATATTTCCAATAGGTACATTACCTCCTCTCACATATATAGCTAGAACCCCACACTGAATACGTGGAAAGACTTGTGCGAGGGGTATAAAGAAGCACCATTTGAAAGCATTCAAAGAATACTCTTTACTGATGATCCTTGTAATAAAGAATCATCCTTGAGACACTGCACCACTTATGAACCAGGTATACTCTTCACCCAGTGTGCAAAGAGGTGTCACGGACACAGGAGAAAAAAAGTAGAAGCACAATGAAAAGGGAGAAAAAATGGTGGGATTGGAATCGGAACTACCAAAGAAAATACTCTCAATCCTGATGAAGAGAAGCTGTAGATGAATCTTCTACAGACAGTAATGTGGGGAAAAGTGAAACTGGATGTGCTCCAAGATATAAAGTGGCTAAGGCATGTCAGACTGTACACAGCTAGTCAACTCCAGTCCAAGACCAATTGGTATCGGGAATATAACCTCCAATCCATGGTAGGAGGAGGGTCCACACTATCATCACCTCAAGTTCCATAGAATGAAAGTAGATACTGTGCAAACTGATCTGTGAAATTGGCACATGTGCACAATCCAAAACTAATCAGACATCCAGTAACCTGACAACCAAATGATGGTATTAACAGACAATGCGTGTGTGGACTTATGATGATTTTCCTGTTCAAAATCCAAAACCAGTCATCAGGATCTGACATCCACATGATGGTAGGATGAGGGATCCCAATTTAAAGGTTGAACAGCAATGTGACGGATCAACTCAAAAGCAACATCATCTCCTTGGACAAGACCATACAGCATTGGAGGATATCATGAACTTCTGGATACCACCGCAGAGAAGTGGATTACTGCTAAAATCATATGCACCTGCACACTAAGGATAGTCATGGAAACGGTGCATAATATCGACCCTTGGAGCCAACCATACAGAGATGGAGCATTTATTATTAGCATACATGTGTAACATCATCCCCTTGGATAGGATCACAACATTAACCCTCGAAAATGTTACATACTTTCGAACGGTTTTAAACCAAGCTGAATGATAATTTAAATTTAGTAGTTAAATAAAAGGCTGATATGTATCCAATTTATATCTGCCAACAAGATTGATACACAGTTTTCTTTTTTAATGCAAATATGTTTTAATATACAAACAACAATACACTTTACAATAACAGTTATTACAAATACTTATTACAAACAATGATATATATATACAAAAGTTTTACAAACTTACAAACAATATAAAGTCTTCTTTCTGGTCTGGAGCTTTCTTGATATCTTATTGAGGGTTCACGATGAGCGAGTTAATGTCGAGATGACATAGGTACAATTCACTTAATAGGAAGCTAGCTAGCTCTGTGGGCCTCACTGATCACATGCTGATTACAGGTCGAGTTTGAGTTTTTTACAGCTGAAGTTATATAATGTCTTCATAAAGTACTAATGTCTGATGTGAATCCACTGAAGTTAAATGGTTTATATTGTTCGAAACTTATAAATGTTCCTGGTCAAATATCTGAAGTTTTCCGATTAATATGCGTTAATCACAGTTATAGTTTCCGAGGTTTATAGCACACCAACTATAGCAAACAAATAACAGATACTGTTTTTAGGCACAGTGCACTGATTATATTTATAGGTGTGTGGAGAGTTTCTCGAAAATTCAGATTATGTAACAATATAAAGCTACATTATCATTTACGTACACACATATATTGTTGATTGTTACACTTGAGAATCTTCTACAACTTTAGAGAATTTAATTTAAACAAACATCGGTATTAAAAAAAGGACAGAATAATAAATCCGTCACAAAACCCACTAGACAAAGATAGTGCACATGAATGGATAACCAGCATCATCTACACCAGCAGAACACCACTACCCTACTCTCAACTGAATGTATTGTATATTTAGTTAATCGCATAAGATCACATTGAGAATACCTCCATGGTCCACCACCCCAGCAGCTTGAAACTGGAAAATGGCAAGGACTCTCATACTCCAATTGAAGAACAAGGGAGGATAAAATGCAGTGGAGAGTCCAGAGGAATGTTAACACTGAAGACAGTGCAATGGGTGACCACAAAAACCTTATTCTGCAAAGTATATCGCCCCTGATTTACTCAATCTAAGGAATCCATGTAAGTCCATGCATTAGTACTATCCAAAAGTGACATTTCTATGAAGCAAGTATATCACAAGGGAAAAACCTACAAGTGATCTTGTATAGCACCTTATCTCAACAGTGTGTGTTAAATGCCATGGAAATATAGTATTTTATTATAGCAGCATGGCCATACAGTTTGGATTTGTGATGAATTAAGTATATCTGGATAGGCAACACTCACCACAG